TTATGTTTTGTTGTATGTTTGATTATTGCTTTCAGAATGCCATATATAGAATTTATATGAGTGTTATCAGTGTGAAAGCGTCGGGATGAAATATTGTCAGTTCTCAAAATGTTTTTGGTATGTCGTTATGTAATTAGTTACTTGTAGAAAGGATTAATTTTGTGGTATGTTAAATTCAGGTTTTGTAATCGATAAGGAGCGGCAACTCACCCCCGTAGAATGTCCCTACATAATGCCCGCACAGATAGCATCTTGATTTATAACAACTATCAAGAACCCTCTACTCTGCCTTGTTTTCAAGTCTCCCTATAAGTACGTAAAGATTACTTTTGGGTTTATTAATTAAACGAACCCTGAATGGGCTCTTAATTACTTAGTACAAGTATATAAGATGATATGAAAGCATTTATAATTTAATTAATATAAAAAAGAAAATATCGAATAATTTTACAAATACATATTAATTGTGATTGTTGTGATACGGAGATAGCCTTAATTGTAGATTTTCAATTTTTATATAATTTTATTTGATACCTATCTGAAAAAGTGAAATTTTAATTAAGGTAGATACCACCATTTTTCTAATTGAAGAATACGGCACATATTTTGATATCAAAGTGTTGTTTGTTTCAATAAAGACTTAAATATTCATCAGAATATTCAACATATTTGTAGTACTCGGCATAATAGTAGTGATAATTAAATAAAAATGATTTATTTCTTTTAATCAATTCGCATCGTGCTCGCGTGGGTTTGTAAACATGATGCTGTGTACGGCGGTAATTTATCTTCTAGAATAAATCGAATACCCATCAAGTTCAATTTAACCGGTAAGGATATCACAAAGATATAATATTTTAACATACGGAGGCGGAGTTTCTCATATGAATATTATATTAAATGATATGTGAATACATTTATACATTGTAAGAGAACGTTTCACGATGCCAACAAGATGAAAGCACGAACTTTAAAAGGATTTAGGGCCTATTTGAAGTGAATGCTCAATCTGTAAACGCGGAGTAAGTATTCAATAAAATATTCTGTGCTGTAAAACCGCGTACGGCTGGACGGGCAGCATTCATCACAAAAAACGGCAATAGGAGCTTCGACAAGTTCACAAAAGCTCGTAAAAGCTCTCGACTATTATGTAGTTATTGTTACAGAGTGGAAACACCATTATTACACCGGTTCGCCGGTTTATTTTGTTGTTTGGACTCGACTCGCTGTCATGTCGGCCCGGAGTGCACCCATCACTCATCACTCTCTTAACAGTTACACGCTCATTCAATTATATTTAGATTCATCTACATATTCTTATATTATGAATGATGAAAGACACTTGGCTTTATTTATACTATATAGAGTATTTATCGCAATTATCAATGAGCAAATATAAAAATTCTCACGTATCGAGTAATAGATAATCTCGTTCTTAACATTTCAATAGCCTGTCGCTGTCGCTAATCCCATTATATCAGTGTACAGGATGATGTCTCAATATCTGCGTCAAGTGAACAAAATGAACATTGTCAAAACTCTCTTTATTTCCACATCTCGTCGGAAACATTCAAATGAACGCTTTTATTCGTAGGATTAAACGGAATTTTGCATAGGAAACGGTCGTCAAATGTCCTCCATTGAGTGCATTGAACGCATTGAATTGAGCTAAGCGGACTACGACAACAATACGTATCAAAAAGGAGAAATCACACGTGGTATGAATGAATTATGGACAATATTTTGGTTGTAACGACAGAGTATAGCCAGATAAAATCTGTTATGGAATAATCCAAGTGTAAAATTGAGTTTTTTTGTCACATCGTTTACCTACACGGGAATTTGTATTAAACATTATACATATTTTGTTACATTTTTTTATAAAAGGCGATTAAAAAAACTTGAACGTATTTATATCACTAAAATGATATTTAAATTATATAGTTATAACAACTTTTCTGAATCATATAACTAATCAGAAATACAAAAATAATCAACAAAATATCAAGAAAGAATTAAAATATAATAATCTTTTTATATATGAACAAATTTCATTAAACCAAAACCCTAAATATGTTAGTCGTGTAACTGGCTCTCTGTGAGAATAGGATACAATGTGCGGTTGAAGTAGAGGAAGTTAGTGTAAGATTGCAACTGAATCCCTTGCACCCGTGTCTTTGTGATGTAAAGATAATGCATATTGTGCATTTGAGTACTACATACTTCGTCTTTATGGCTATTCTCTCGTACAATTTTGTTCTAACATTATTTATTGGATTAGTATATATTGGTATAGCTAAAAGAAAACATAGTTTTACTCTAAAGAGCGATTTATATAAACAAATATTGAAATACTGTTATATAAAAACCATATAAAAAAATAAATATTACAACTCTTTTTGAATAAAAAATGTAGATAATTGTCCTAATCAAAGGTCCTTTTAAAGCAAGATATGTAGTAGAATTTTGTGTTGTATTTGAAAAACAAATAAATGCACACATATACCATTGGTCAAATAGATTGATATCGCGGTTAAATATTCATGTTTACTTACTTTTTCTTACAATTACAATTCTTAAATAATACAATATGATAACAATATCAATCAATAAAGTAATATCAATTAGAAACTTCTAAAAAATTATATGAACTGTATTTCTACCATACTTTTCTTTATGTTTCTTTTTTAAGTAAACCATTGAACATACGTATCATTACGCTCATATATTAGTTAATAAAACATGGAACATTAACCAGCAATGTCTTTAATAACTAAAATTAATCTTTAAGCATAGTAACAAAGTGCCTACATTCTTATTATCTAAATATCGTTATATCACGAACACATTGTTTCCTTAACATATGCTTCGATTATATTTAAATTTTGTCTTAATTATTTAGAATAGTGGCCCGAAATTGCGGCTTAAAATGATAACAGTCCTTAAAACTTTGTAGATAAAGTTTAAAATCAAAATTTAATCAATATTAAATATCAAAACGAAGGTTTAAATTCTGTAATATCACTTATAGAGTTAAAATGACATACATACTCGTAAAAATCATAGATGTCATGTAAGTAATGAAACAGAATCATAAGTCGTAGCCTATAATCACCTTTTAACGTAATATAATGGACAAGGGGCAAATACAATGGCTTTCTTTGTAGCGTTATTCGATACGTCGCCGCTGAGAGGGCGGGGGAACATGCGCGCGCGCAGCGCGTGCTTTATTATAAATTCGTTTCAGCTATTTTACTCTAATAAACATATACAACATTTGTTCACAACTACAGTTACATTTTACGAACAGATCAATTGAAATTCTGATTATCAAGATCTACAATACTTACCCGTTACGTGATTATATCACTATTTCCAATAGGTACCACCTATTACTGTTATTAACAATATTATAAAATATTTGTATGTGTTCAAAGAAAGTAATTTCGTCTTTCAAGAGTTAACTGTAATTTACCTATTCCCAACAACTTCCAAGTAATTGCGTTCTCTGGAATGTGAATTTGCAGTTTCTGTTCATTTAGCGCTAGGTCTAAATAATACGTAGGTAATCTTTAAAAATATGAAAAAATTAGGAGAAAGTATATAAGCAAAAAATGTTTTTCACATGTTTTTAAACTATATGAAGCAGTGAAATTAAACACAATCTTTCAAATCAAAGCATTTTACTTTAAAAAATAATTTCACAGACTGTGATTTGTATATAGAAGTAGAAAAATAAAGTATAATTATATAAAGCAATATGCGCCTAGGACAATAATAGAAACAGCGGTTCACAGTAGGACGTGCGCGGGCGCAGATTACAATAATTACGCTCACACCAGCGCCCTGCGCTTTAATCACTATCATTTGGACATGTTATTCTATATTCTGTGCAAAATGTTATCGCTGACGACATCTCAGCTTTGTTGGAAGTGATTGACGCGTGTTTAATGTACTAATAATTAGGATTTTTTTCATATATATAGATCACTATTTTAGTAGAAAAAAAGGGAACGTTTTTATCTAGCGGACCTGATGTTCGAACACCATAATGAGATCTAAGATTTTCGCGAATCTTATTCATTTAAATGAAACTTATATTTTTTGGATATAAACTATATGCACCCGACGTTTCGGTTACTTTTCAGCAACCATGATCACGGGCAGACGAGATCTGACTATCTCACTACTATCTTTAAGCTTGAGAGAGATTATAAGTATATTCAATATTGGTAAAAAGCAGAGTAAGGAAGTCTTACCTAACATTCATTTTAAGCTATCTTAGCTGCATAAGCAGACTCTTGGCTTATTGGTATTGTGTCCATATTTCGGTAGGTATATTATAAAAAAATATTTATAATACTTTTATAATAAATCTCCATCTAGAACATCTGCGTAGTAAGTATCACGTGAGTACATTACTAATGATATCAACATAGAAAAATGCATCCTGTCATATGATTCGTATCCGCCCTCACAGGGATCGGGGATGTAAAAAATGGACCAATTTTTATAATAGTCGCTGGGGTACAACCGAATGTACCTACTTTATTACGAACCGGAAACATTTATTACGATTTATGAAATATTATACCTTAATCATGTTTAATATGAAACAGCTGAGATTTACGTTGCAGCTTCCTAAAGAGTTTAGGTTTTAACTAAGCTTTAATTGAATTGAACTAAAATTCATAGTGATTTTCCATAGAAACAAAAGGCATTATTATCGAAAGCATCTTCAGTATGAGTCGATAGTATCGTGGTGCGTTATCGTCATTGCGTGAGTTCCCGCCCTGAAGCCCTGAACCCGCCCCGAGTAAACAAACGAGGGTCCGGGGGAAGGAGACGGAAGACGTGCGAACGAGATGGAACACCAGGCCAGAACACGAACCCGGCAATTAGTCGAGATTCGTCCGCGGGATCGATTCGTTACGAGATAAACGTCCGTTAGATAGTTAGTATAAAGTGATGTGTAACTTGTAACAAATAGATGGACTGAGATGAACTGTGCGTACTACCACGGGGCAGCGCACCCGACGCACAATGTCAACGACAGTTATGTTCATTACAACGAGGTAATAATATTAATTATTTATATATAAAACACAGATCAAATATACGTACGTAATATTTTGGTGATAAAATTGTCTGTGGATTGGAAAAATCTTATTGGATCATGTGATAAGACGTTGATATTTTAAAATACATTTGTCGCTCAAATTGGAAGTTGTATAGGAAATTGGTTTATGATCTTTATAAAATTTAAGTATTAAAATTATGTTATATTTGTTTCCTATAAATATGTGTATGATTTGTGTGTTTTTTATCACATTTAAATACTATTAATGGCATGCCTTAAAATCTATAAATGATAAATAATATCTCTGAGTCTAAATTAATAGAAATTAAAATTTTTCCTAAAATTTACTTTGATTTGGACTGACATTAAAACCAATAAAAAATATATTAAAATATAGTCTAAAGTAGTAAATGTACTACTTACTCAAATATATTTAATAAATAATATTAACAAACTGTAGTAGGTACATATATTTACAAACAACTGTGTCGACTACTGTAAAAAACAAATTTTTCTAAGTAGAATTAAATTGAAAAGTTAATCATAAATAAAAATTAAAATAATCACTCCCATGGCGCTAATAAATAAACTATATATTATTAATTATAAATGAATTGGGTTGTTGACGTTAACAACAAAAGAAATTCTCAAGAAATCAACAGAGCCTTAACAAAGGGGCGAGCGGTTGAATGAGAAAAAAACATATAAATATAATTGGTATTATTATAAGTGATTACAGAACAAACACCTCCCGTAGACAAAATATACTTTTGTTATACATCAATACATTTAATAAGTCCGTACTATTTCTGTATGGTGATATTTGTTACCACAATTGCCATTTTCTATACATGATGCTATTATTATGCATGCTAATAATAAGCTTTATTTTTATAACAATAAAGATCAAATTTCGATTCATTCTTGTATTATTTTTGTTATATGCAGATTACTTTGTATATAGGCTAACTACAGCCAAATTATGGTTAAGCAAGTAAACTAAGAAACGGACGGAGTTAAGTGCATACACTAGTATTAAATGAGATCTCATCTCCAATAAAACGGAAGGTGCGCGTTACTCTGAGAGTATAATTATTAAAAGTTGAATCATTTTTTCGGTGCACATCGAGCCAGTCATCATAATTAAATGAAATCCTTTTAACCTGTCTTTGTCTATTACCGACGCAACCTCGCCCGCGGTAGCCTCATTGTGGACGAAAAAAATAAATTTATATATACATATGTATATCTTCTACCTGGCAATTTCCCAGCTTTAGCCAGGGTCTGCTTTACATGTTGTGAATAGTTTTGGCTAATTGTTTTTACGACCGGCCGCCTGCCTGACATCAAGCCTCTTTTAGAAGAAGATACATATGTACATATATTGTTAAGTTCATTAAAAATATAATTTTCTCGAAATTTACATACAATAAGCTTGTTAAAAAATAATAGATAAAATTTCATATGTAATATGCTTTATATTTCATACTAGAGTAAGTAATTGTATAAGGTTTTAGTTCTTGAGTATTGAAAAAAAAGTGGTAAAGAAATTTTTGTTTGTACCCGTTAATGTACATACAGTCGAATTTTTAATAACCTTTTACTATCTAATGATAAATTTATACATAAGGAAGGAATGGCTAACGCTTTTAAAACTATGAGAAAATTTCAATATATTACGCAAAGTTATTTTAAGCAAAATATCTCCAATAATATTACTATATAAAACGATTTTGATCGAGTTACTTCTAAATCAAACCAAGTTTATAAAACATTATTTGAAAGTACCTATTTGAGTGTCAATTACTTTCGCGGATTATTTCGTAAATTATAATCACAATCGGTATATATACGTAAATTGTTTTGAACATTTAAAACTTACATACATACGTTATTACCCGGTATTATGCATTCGTAATGCAGACTGATGGCCGGACGCATGCATTACGTGGGTAGCTGTATAATTACCTTTCCTATTCCCTCTAGATATTATTAACATACACTATTTATTTAATGTGTTATACATTATCACTTACATGTTTAACAATTATACGAAACCATTGCTCATATAGAAAAATTGCTATTTTTTGTTATAGCGTAGGTAATGTCTTCTGATGATCATTCCTGTAATTGATTCCTTTCGTTTGTATTCTTATAATATAAATTAAAACTACATTTTGATTCGCTCAAACGATACAGTATAATGTAGAAATGTGTTATAATATTGATAATTGTATCACAAAACGTTAGTATAGTTCTAACTAAGGATAAAAGCCTCAAAATTTCAGTGGCTTCCATACTAGACGTCCATTGCCGGACTCGCAATTACAAACCGTAATTACAGGCCGCCGCCGCTCGGCGCCGAAACCGGCCCGCCATAATTAAAAACCGTCCAAATTAAATTCGCTCGTATATCCAACTTATGATAACTTTTTAGGGACTTTCTAATTAGTTTCTGTTTTTCTGTCTAAAATATCCCTTTGAATACATATGTTGTTTTTAATTTGTTTTCATATGGCAAATTTTTTTTAGTGAAGTCCTTTGATCGCTTGTGTATAATGATTAGGTCAGTTCTATTTTTGAATCTGTATTCAAACCGATGAATGTTTCTAATAATTACATATATAGTTCCAAATTACCCTATAATTATGTTTTATATTATATATATTTATTATTAAATATTATATTTGTTTATATTTTAGGTTAGTATCGACCCCGTGTCCGCTGATGCCAAGGACATGAAGATCTTAGTAAGTACTAATTTTGTTACAAACGTATTATTAGTACCTGCTAACATATCTTAAATAAATTCTATACAAAATAATAATATATTTTAGATATAGTAAAAAAAATTGGCATATAAAAAAAAAATTCAAATATGGAATGTATCATAAAATGAGTAATAAAATTTGAATTAAGAAGGTTAGGTTTTAATAAGAGTTGAGTCTAAATATAGTTTTATTACATGCAGATCAAACTGAAAACTTACTTTTTTCTTATAATTTATATATTCACACAAATAATTTTTATTTTCCTACTACATATAATAATAACAAAACATCAAAATTGTTACCCATTAAAAAAATCCTATATCCGTATCATTGGCAACACTGAATGTCACAGACAATAAAACGTTTTGGATCACGAACACAGGAAATTATATAAGAAAGAATATCGAATGACGAAATCGGTAATTGTTTTGATCGTTCTTTGTGAAGAAAGATTCGTCTCGGACGCGTCATGTCGCTGACAATACTTGGGAATTTAATATGTAATCACAGCTTGAGTTGAGTTTAATAATAATAGAAAAATAGTATAATAGTATGTCATGATTGTATAGAATTTATTGAATATTATGATCTTATTTAATATAGGTATTTATCTGAGTTTAACGATTTAAATACATGGAGTTTGAAATAACTAATTCGTTATTTCTAATTTAGGTTATATATGGAGTGAAACTAATATTAATAAAATAATAAATACTCCCTGGTATGTAGTTTATAATCAAAAACAAAAATCGCGTAGTACATTCAAAAAAATATTAGTTTCATTTAAATGAATACTCGCGAAAATCTTAAATCTCATTATATATGGAGTTTAAAATTAAATAACTAATTTAATATTTCTAATTTAGTAAATTAAAATAATTATAAATTATTATGACTATTTTTAATGTTCTTATATAAAGATAAATATTGTTACAATACAATTAATATGAACTTCACTGACATATATTTATGTTTAAAAACGTTTAGCGCCTGGAGGCAAATGTTCTGTGCATCATCATTAGGCAAATTGCAATGCTCGGGAAGTGTCGATGAGATGACTTCTTTCATTCATATAAAGTTATTCGACAGTTATATATTAATTATTTATTGATATCTAATACTTTTGTCGATATATATTTAAATGAAACTAATATTTTCGGACTACTACGGGTTTTTTATTATTATAAAACTATATAATTCCGACGTTTCGGTTACTTTGTAGCAATCGTAATCATCAGCATATGAAGTGATAATGTCTTTGAGTTGTTTTTTAACGATAATACTTTAATAGAATTCGTGTAAAATAGTACAAAGTGCAAAATTCTTTTCTAAATTTCTTCAAATTGTTATTTTTATACTACACAATGAGAGTTTAATATTAAGCGCATCAATACTTACATCACTTAAAATAAAGTTACGTAATATTATTTTTGAATCGGACTACACAAATCGAAAATGTTCAATTCTCTGATTTCAGTCTAAGTACTTTTTTCCGATTTTGATTCTATACGACTCATGTCATAGTTTCAATTTAATTAATTAAATTCCTTAATACGAACCTTTTCTTTGTAGGCCATTTGAGCATAGTAAGTCTTAGAATTCAAATTTTAACTAGTTACTAGCTCTTATTTCCTCTCCTATATTCGGAAGTATAACTTATTTAGTTACCTATAGCCTCTTTTAGGTTAGTTGTATGTTTTGTTGGAGTTGAACAGTCTGTATAAGTCATCCAAATATATTGATGATTAAATATTGAAATAATTTTAATATATTTTGTGGTTTAAATTTTTTTAACACAAAAAAAAATAGTTTAATTAAAATTATAATTACCTGTATTGAAATTACATAATAAGATATCGTTACTTGTTTTTTATGTGTATATTTAGATTTTATTATTAACATCAATAGTGTGATATCCGATATAAACGTAGCAAATGATTCCTAAACAATAGATATACCTATTTTAAGTTGTAAGTTTAATAACTGAAAAAAATAGCAAATATTAAAATAATATGATGTAACTTACAAGAGTAGTCTCAACCAAAAAGTTGAATTTACAAAAACTTCTATTTACTTTTACAACAATAATTTTTCTTACAAGTTTCGAAACATATATATTTGAGGGCATTAATTTTTTAATTTCACTTGTTACTTAATAACTCACTATTTATTCAAAAAATCTAAATGGCAATCATTCCGCTATCAATGCTTCATAGAATGTAAGGTATTGTTGGTTCTGTAGTGAATATGAATCGGTACTTGAAAGGGCTATAAATGTATTTAACTTAACAATAAAGCCTGCAGGGTCGAGCTGTGTGTGGTCAATGTTCAATAATGTGCATTGATTGTATTGTTTCATTATTTATATACAAATGATTGTTTTATCAAAGGAACAGATTTAAATAGCCTTCCTTGTTTGTATATATACCTACTAATATTCTATCTCTCTCTTTTTCTCTATCTCTCTCACTCTCTTTTTCTTTAAAGTTATAGATTTTTCTAATTTCATATGTTAATAATATTATACTGAACTATGTAAATAGGGATTTGTGAATAACATGGTCGCGACTAGGAAACTAAGAACTTTGATATTGCTGAAATACTAATATTATATATTTATTTATATAATATTGTAATTTTTAGTTTGCTGTCCACAAATGTAATTTCAATACAACGTTACGTCCGGAAAAATAAAAATTTGATACACTCGTCCGGATTCATATAATAATTATTACGATTAAAATAATAATCATAATTTCTAAACGTCGATTTTTCTGTCAATGTCAATGTCATGTCAATATTACAAAGAAAAAAAAATCATATTTAGAATTTAACACTGACAACTATTCTTATTGCATCATTTCAGTGCGAAAAAAAAAATATATAATTTTGAAAATAGAACGTGAAAAAATTTAAAGACTGATTATGTAAAGGGAAAACTAGCCTCTGTCCTCTGGGAGCCTCTTGGGGGCAAAACACATCAAGAGCGGTAAAGTTAAAGTGGTCATCTATGACACGTACGAAATGCAGACGAAATTCATGGGGGTGACGCTGAGATGCTTAGAGTGCTTGTAAGGTATTTTATATACTGGCATTATTTATTTAATCCACCAATTGATTTTCAACCTTAGTCCTAAGATATAAGGTATAAATCAGCTTAGCTAGTTTTTATATGACTTGTGTTAGAAGATTTTCGACCTAATGCCTTTGTGATAAAGTTCAAGTAAAGGCTTGTAGGATGCTTCAAGTGGAGGACTTCGGAGTGTATGTGGGAGGTGAAAGCCATCTTTTACTACTTGACTTCGCAATTCAATATAACAGTTTTGTATTTTCATTCGCAATAACGTTCAGTGATTGCTCCGACGTTTTATATGATATGAAATGTTTAATTTAAGAGATGAGTTCGATGACCTTATATTGTGACGTCATAATGACGTCACACAGGAATATTAAAATAGCGAAAGAGTACTTTATGGAAAAATTAAATGTAGGGAACTCGACTTAGTTACTTTCAATTTAATATATATACATACATATATATGTATTTATAAATTATTTGCAAAAATAAAAGCTTAATCCTCATATACTTTTTGCAAGTATTTTCTATTTTTATACAAAGTTATATGGCGAATGAGACTGTCTCTACATCTACATATTTTCTATTTCTATTATTGCTACATAAAACATATCTATTAATAAATGTATGTTTAACACACAAAGCTTTAAAATTGTACACCTATTTGTTTACTTAATACGGTCATGTGAATAACTTCTTAAATTTTTTTTCTTCGTAATTCATATTTCTACTCAGAGCAGGTTTGATTAGACACATTATTTATTTACATATTATTTTTAAACGGTGATTAAGAAATTTTTAACGCCGATTACCTACCAAATTACAAACGCTGATTACCAAATTTTATTACCAAAGAATTCTCGACTCTACATTTAAATATACATGCTTACTACTCAAGGGAACTTCAGGTAAGGTCAAATAGAAATTTCTATATAGGTATATACTTGAAGACCCGGCTAACTTCGTATCGCCCTATAATCAAGAAATATCTGTTACTTTTTTATTTATATTTTTGGTGTTTACCTATTAAAGCCATAAATCTCCGTGTTTTAAAGTGTGACAGAATGATTGACATATTAGTTAGTTGTCAAATCTAATGTCAAAAAAAACGTTTGTATCAACAACTACTTATAAATTAAAAATTAATTATAAAAACATTGTCCAGAGGACAAAATTGTGAATCTAAACCATTCCCAGATCCCCTTGAACACACACAAATAATTTCATCAAAATCGGTCCAGTCGTTTGAGAGAAGTTCAGTGACATACACACTCACAGAATATATATATATAAAGATATATAAAATCGTTCTACTATTAAAAACTCTATATGAACTCTCCTATAATAGTAACAATGATTACATTTCCGTCTCCTCTCCACCCAGTCAGTAATCTTAAATCCCAGCGTGATGTTCGTGTACAAATTAAAATGTTTATTAAGTTATAGATTTGGCGATGCCCCGGGCGTTTTATTTCGTTATCCCGGACACGCCCTGTTTTATCCTTTCCCTTATACCGCCACCCCGTCTAATACTGAACTGTCATTTCCTATTGACTACATACGAGATTCAATCATATTATGTAAGTAATAAAGTTTATATTCCATTGATATTAAAGTCGGATGTCGTTCGTTATTGAGCCTACATACAATATTTGATCGTATTTTTTATGTATACGGTTCATATTCTCTTGATGGTTCTGTTTGATGTAATGTAATGTTGGCTGTACATTGAATATTTAACCATATTCTTATAATGTAAGGTTGATATTTCTTTGAAGATGCTTTCAGCTGTCATTTCTAATTGATAGAACATACAATATTAAACCATATGTGTATGTGATAAGGTTGTTATTTCTCTGGATGTTCCGTTATCTCGTCGGTGCGTGTCATAAAACTATTAGAC